CAGTACACAGTGGACTTATTGTGACCCTGAGATCAGCTTATACAGTGTACCTGTACTGGGGATAAACTCATTTTGCTAAAATACAAGGTGCTCTATGTAACTTTTCTAGTGAAGGGTCCATCAGCTGCTTGCGTCCTGAAAATGTTATAAAACGTTATTGCTTTACCTGTAATGTTCCTCTTATCCAGTGGCAGAGTTAGCAATTTGGGGGCCATAGATGAACTTGAGTTTGGGGTCCTCACTATAATGCACCATTTTTTTGTTTTGCTTTGTTTTTAATACATTTATTGTCTGTTTTTCCCATTGTTCTTGAGACGTGCACATCTCTATTTATGTGAATTATGGAAACTTGTCTTATTAGTTAGTAGCTGTATTTTTTTGCTAGTACAATTACATTTTTGTTTACATCCATTACATATGATTATTATTAGTCTTATAATTATTGTTTAAAAGTAAACTACTCTCATTTAATGTCATATTGAGAGAAAATTTTATTGCTCTGAGGCCTTGGCCCTTAGTGACACTGAGGACAATTGGTTGGGGGCCCCTCCAGGTTTGGGGGCCCTAGGCAGCCGTCTACTTTTGCCTAATGGTAGCACCGCCTCTGCCCTTACCTCTGTTTTGTTTGATTATTGTCAAAAAACACTTTTTGTGGAGTCACCTGCTTGTCCATGGAGAAGTCTTATTTCTATTTGTAGAAAATTCCAGAAAGAGCAATGTCTACGTAGAAAAGGAAATGTTGGACCTTTAACTTAAAAAACATGCATAGTCCCCTCTTTAAAGGGCCCATTTTACAATATTTTCTGATCTATGTTATAACATTGCTTCCTCATCACAAACATACCCAGAGTTGTGTTTTGTTTTGTTGTAATGCCATATGGTAATACAGGAAGTGCTCCACTGTGTTTTTAAACTCCACACGCCTTCACTGGAATCATTTGGATGATTTCAACCCTGGAATTGCCAATCTCTATCAAACTAAAAGTAAAATGCAGCTCTTAACGTGAAAACTACCACTACATGACATTACATTGGAGATGTAGACAGACTAATAATAAAGAGTTACTCAAAAATGTGTGAATGAAACAAAAGACAACTTCAGGTCTTTTTTCGATGAGGTAACGACATTATAACATGCCTGAAAACTCACAAGAGTCAATTCTGAGTAATTCTTAGGAAATTAGAATGAAATATAATGCATAACAGACATAGACTTGTGAAAACCGAACTGACCAATGTTATTTTGTCTTGGGATCTCAGTGACCATGGAGGGCTTTGTGGTGAGCAGATTCAGTAGTTACCAGTGACGGTGTTAAGAGCGCACAATGACAGGGGGGATAAGCTGGAGACAGACTGGGATAGAGCAGTAAATGAGGAAGAGGAGACAGCAGAGGAAGAGGGTGGGGGGGACTCGGGGGGCAGGAGGAGAGGAGCCGGCCTCAGGGAGACAAGGCGTCCAATTCACTGGCCTCTCAATCTCCTCAAATCCACTCTGATCCACTGTGTTCAGATGGGGTTTCACTCTCACACACACAACTGGTTAGGACAAGCTGTGTTGTCTTTTGTGCATTTTATCTTAAAGGTGCACTGCGTAACATTTCTCGTGGAGGGTTCGCCACCTGATGTCTCTATGGAAATGATGTGGCTTTGTCTAGAATGTTCCACAGTACAGATTAAACTTATCACAAGGGAGACAAGCAGGTTACAGCACTATGCTATTACATTACATTACATTTCAGATCTATGGAGAGTCGTCCCTGTTCACAGAAGGGATTATTGTATTTTTGAGCAATAGAAACAGCCCTAATGAATAAATGCTAGATGGATATGTTTAATGTCATACCATGGAACATTCCAAGCAAAGCAGTAACAACAGGACAAGAGGTGCCCAAAGGCCTAAAGGCGGCAAGGCAAGTTTATTTGTATAGCACAATTTGTACAAAAAGCAATTCAAAGTGCATTAAAATAAAAAAAACAAATCAAAATACAAATAATGATCATAAAATAAAAAAGAGAGAGACATTAAATGAGAGAGAAGAGTGCAGAATGAAAACATTTCAGTCATACGCAGCTAAACACAACTGTTTTAGGGCCTGGATTTAAACAGAGTCAAAAGTCTGTCTCACATGTTCAGGAAGAGTGTTCCAGGTTTTAACTGCCTGAACCTGAAACACTGACTCCACGTGTTTAGTTCTGACTCTGGGCACCAGCAGAAGTCGAGTACGAGTACGAGATGGTTCATGTGGTACTAACATGTCACAGATGTACTTTGGTCCATCTCTACATAAGCAGAGCTGCTTTAAAGTCTATTCTCTGAGCGACAGGAGCCAGTGCAGAGACCTGAGCACAGGGCACATGTGCTCGTACGTCCTGGTTCGAGTCAGGACTCAAGATGCAGTGTTCTGGATGTACTGCAACATCTCATAGCTCGTTTGAAGAGGCCTGTGAGCAGGCCATTTCAGTGGTGTAACCTACTGGAGACAAATGCATGGATAAGTGTCTCCAAGTCTGCTTTAGACAGAATACCTTTGATTTTTGCTGTTTCTTAGATAGTAAAAGGCTCCAGATGTCATTGATTTGATATGGCTGTTAAGGTTCCAATCTGAGTCCATTATTATCCCTAGATTTCTTGCCTGATTTGAAGGTTTTAGACAGAGAGACTGGAGGTGACTGCTGACACTGTCTCTTTGTTGATGACTTGTGTCTTGTCTTGTCTAAGTTTAGCTTACACTGATCTGTTGGCTGCAGTGGCAGAGTGAATCTACTGGTCCATAGTCCCCTGTTGCCGTTGAGACATAGATCTTAGTGTCATCTGCATAGCTGTGTTAGGACACATTATTGCTGCATATTAACTGGTGTAACAAGGTGCTCAACTGTCCAGTGACGGTGCTGTGCGAGAGGTGCTGCGGGTTATCCAGGTTGCTTGGAGCTTGTTTAGGGCCCTCTTCTCAGCCACAGATGTAAGTCAAGCTCTGCACACACTATAGAACCTGCCTTCCTCACCAGTTTATCCAGCTTCATTTTGTCCTTCAGGTAGTTGAGACTTGGGAGGCATTGTGGCAGAGAAGTTAGTCCACCCTACGTTCTTTTAATTAATACAATAACCTAACCTCCCGTCTACCTCGCCGCTTTTACATAGTTCACCTGCTCCTCAGCCTTCATCACCTCACTCCAAATACTCCTCCCCGCTGCTCGCCACACCTCCTGCTTGTCCAATCAGTGCCCACTCTACCCAGTGTAAACCTCCACTGCAGACGCACGACTGCTTTGGTTTCCACCACGCCCCACCTCCTCCCCAGCACCTCTCTCTTCTCACTGTCCCACTCCCCTGGGCCTCACCTTTACCACCTTCAGTGCCCAGGCCCCGGGGGAAAAGACACCTCCTAAACGTCATCTAGTCGTCCACACCTTTCACCACAATATCTTCTGCCAGGGTCTGGGTGCCAAAGATAACTCATTAAATAAATCCTACTAATACTTTCTCTTTGTGTCTGTCTGAGTCTCTCCAGGTTGAAAAGTACAAAGCTTTACAGGCACGCAAAGCAGACAGCAGGAAACGTGTCGCAAAAATCAGGTGCAGTTTTGGCATTCCTGAAGAAGCGGAAAGCAAATTTAGATCATGTGACCCGGTGAATATGCAAGGGAAATTTTGTCACAATATGCTCCAGCTGAGTTTTAAACTATAGGGATTCTAGACCAGTGTTTCCCAAACTTTTTTTTCTGAGGACCCATATTTTAAAAGTCACAAACCTTCGTGACCCAAGTCATTACACAATTTGACCATTATTGAACAAGAATGAGGATATTTTATTGTTGACTGAGTGATCGTGTCTCTCTGAACAATTAGTATTACTCAAGTTTTAATCAATGAAAAATGGTAATTGAACCAGCAATAAAAGGATTCATAAGTCACCTATTTGGACACTTAATATAGCCCATTTCTTTTTCTCTTCAACATTCAGCTGAACCAACAATACTGGAATAAAATAGTCAATAAAATAATTACAAAACGATTAGAAATAATACAAAACATGTCTTAACATTTCAACACTTCTAATGAGATAGGTGGGCCTGTCTGCGTTTTTGTAGCTCTTTCCAGTCCGGGTGCAGGAGGAGAGCACAACATGCGTATCAGGCACAGCATTCAGTCTGTTTCTGTGCTTTGTCTTCATTTTTGTGAGTACAGAAAATCCCAATTCACACATATATTCTAAAGAAATGCTTATCCAGAATGACCATAATATATTCTCTGACTCACTCACTCTCTGTGTCAGAACCGTATATTACAGACCTACACTACCGGTCAGAAGTTTTAGAACCAAATTTTTCCAGTTATTTATTGCAGTTCAAGTCGTGCAAGTCCACTGAAGAGCTTGAAATGGTACAAAGGTAAGTATTGAACATCCAGAGGTTAAAAAAAAGATAAAAGATACAAAACACAAGTCTAAGCTCTGCCAAAACTACCTCAGGAAAAAAGAGCAAGATGTTAACCTTGAAATCATGGAGTGTCCAGCACAGACTCCAGACTTAAACCCCATCGAGCTGGTTTGGGATGAACTGAACAGAAGAGTGAAGCAATCTACAAGTGCCACACACATTTATGGGAACGTCTGCCACAGACTTGGGAAGAACTTTCTGAAGAATATTTGATTTCTGTTGTAAAAAGAATGAGCCACGAATGTATCCAGCTGTTATATCTGCCAAAGGTGGTTACTTTCATGAAGTTTAGAATATGTTTTGGTCAACAGTAAACAGTAAAAAACTGCAAAAAGTGTGGTGTTCTAAAACTTTTGATGAATGATGAAGTATACATGCAGATTGTGACAAGGCGACCCAAAAAAAAATTTGCGACCCACCTGAGAGTTGCCACCCAGTCTTTGGTAAACAGTGTTCTAGACTGTTGTGATGTCATGTGAACTCAAACTCATGCTCAGTGTTTTGAAGAGATAAAAAGACTTAAAATGGGCACAGAGTTCAATTGATGTTCTTGTCTCTTTCAGGTGGTGTTGAACCCATAGCAGAGGCCTCAGGAGATACTGAGCAGTTGGACCTCCCACAAGACGCAGCTAAGTTCATCAAGAAGAAACAGCCATCCAAGAAAGTCAAGAAAGGTAGGCCCACCAGCTTTTTAAATGTATCCCCTAGGGCTGGGTATCATTAAGAAGTTGCCAATATGATACATACCTCGATACATAGACAATGATACAATACATATCTCAATACAGTGCACTTTTGATTCGATACGATTCAAGGCTAAATTGTGGCTGTAATACTAAAATTCTTTGTTAAACCACATCTTGTGCAAAGTGAATATCAAAATTTTAATCAACAAAACAGTGAAAATGTCAAATGTGTTGCATAAACAAGTTTCCTTCCACTAAACAAGCAAGAAAACTGTAGCGCTGTAATGAAATAATGTAGTCAAATATACCAAAAATACTCTTGGCGAAATATTGATACAGCAATCCCTGATATTGACACTGTATCATCACATTAAATGATACGATATGTCAATATTTTTGCACACCCCTAGTATCCCCCCCATTCTCTTTGCAACACCTATAAAACCCCAAACCTGTAACTGCCAACTCCAATCTTTATTCAAGTGCGTAGGACAGTAGATTACTAATTTTGATGCTCTGAGTCAGAGTCCTGCACTGGGTCGGGTACCCGCGGGCAAATGGTTGCTGAAATGGGCAGATTTTAACATTATGGCATTTTACGGAGGGGTATGTGGTAGTAATTACACACGGGTGGGTCAGGATAAAATCAGGACTAAACCTGGACTACACTAAGACTAATCTTGGACTTAAGAGAGAGAGAGAACTCTGACCCCGTGGAGCTGGGAGTCTGCAAAGTGTGATCAGGCGACGGTTGTGCTTACCTCCTTGTGGCACGGAGCTCTGTGCCGGTCCTTTCGCCTTCGGTCTATGTGGGCACCTCTGAGCTTGTCCCAACAGTGAGTCTTGGTTCACTTCTGGTTTAGTTCTGGTTTAGTCCTGTTTTAGTCCTAGTTCAGTCCTAGTTAAGTCCTCCTGATTCAGTCCTGGAATCAGTCCGAAGTTAGTCCTGCATTAATCCTGGGTTAGTCCTGGTTTAGTCCTGGTTCAGTCTGTGGTGTGTGCGGCGCAAAAGTCGGGCATCTCCATTATTCCTTCTTCTGCTCAGTAAATAATGCCTGTGAAGTGATGACAGTAAAGTCGTATTTGTGAATTCATATTCGTAATGAAGAAAGCATAACCGTTTCATTTCATTTTGTGATTGTAATTCTTGAAGCCTTAACTTTTCATATTCTGATGGCTGCTTTAGTTAGAATGCCTTTAATTTGTGTGTGATTTATCAAGGGCACAGGCAGGTAACAGGTGGAATGTTACGGGTCTGGGTGTGGGTTTAACTTTGATAAAATCACGGGTTAACGGGCGGGTGCACGGGTCAAAAAATTGACTCTACTTCTGAGTACCCCCCTCCCCTTGCTTCCCCTTCAGAGCGCTATCACAACCCAATTGGCATGCCTTTCGTTAATGAAAATACTGCAAATCAAATCAGGTTTGTCAAGTTGTTGTGTATTGTTTGTATGGAGAGTTGTTGTGCGGGAGCATGGATGACGTAAGCTCGTGGGCTTAGCGTTGGACAGGCTCGTACTCCTAACTGTAAGTAAGGTTAGTGCCCAGTAGAGCTTGCAACATTACTCAAACATAGATGACATATAAAACCACCTCAGGCATGTTTTTGATAAGGGAACATTGTTATAATATGGTACAAAGCTCCAAAAAGTGGATTTTGCATAATACCCCCTCTTTGAATTAATGTTTAATCTGTCAGAAAAATGCCTTAATTGCGCGTAAACGGTCCCTGCATTTTGGATGGCATTTTCGGTGTTGACGGCATGGGTAGAGGGATTTCGTTTTAGAACTCACGCTACAAACTGTATTTCTGTACTTTCCACAAACTGCCTCTTGACTGATGTGAAACTAGCGTAAATATTTACCTCTATCCAATCAAACCAAGTAATAATTAGAAAAACATGAACACTTGTATTATACACCATGTTGCCTTTCCAGTGGGACAATATTGGACAAGATTGAAACAGGACATCTCCAGCTTCCCTCTCCACTCGTCGCCCAATCCTCCACAGAGCTCTGACAGTGATATCTGCTCACTGTCTGTCACACCGCACTAATCCTGCTCCCTCTCATCTGGTTTTCATATGGGCCACTTCCACAGGCTTTGGCTAACAGTCCGCACAATCAAGATGGCGTCCGCTGCCAAACTTTGATTATCGCTCTCCCATCTGCTCACATGCACACAAGCTTAATACATATAAAAGGAGCAAAAACTACAGGCCAATATCGCTAATCAGACGTTTTAGCCCTGAGAGAGGAGGCTATAGATTGGACGTGATGTGGCCAAGTGACTTCAAGTGTTATTCCACTGGCAGACGCGTACTCCAGCCTTGATGACATTTCAATAGGTGTTCTTAATGCGAGTTGGAAAAATTAAATACTAACGTGGGAAAAAAACTTGTGGGCTTCTAATTAGGGTTGTTCCAATACCGATATCGCACATTTTTTCAAGTATCTGTGTCGGCGAGTACTCAGACCAAACTACCAATCTGATACCACTCTGTATTTTCGTGAATGTGGATGTGCAGTGGATGTTGACATCTGTGGCAAGGGTAAATGCAGACTGTGAAAGCTCTGCAGACACTTAAAACCCGCTAATAATGACAGAAAATACATTTGAAAATACTCTTTGATGCCTTCATTTTGCCTTTTTTGTGGACACTGAGCTTAGTAAAATAACTAAGATAGCTCAACATCAGCACTAACAGACTTTTATTTACTTACGTAATTAGCTATCATTAGTCATGTGCTCCAGGGATGAGCTTTTTTTTTTTTTTTTTTTTACAGGATTCACTGTTGTTTTCATCCACCCATATGCTAAAAACTGCTTAAATCTGCACAACTTCAAGATCAAGATCATTATATATTTGACTCTTAACACTCTGCTCTCAAAATCTCATTTACTCTTGTGGATTTTCTTTAGAGATTGCCTTATTAGATTTATTATAGATAGATTATAGATAGATTATTAGTAGATTTCTTTTTTTGCTCTTGTACTGTAACAAAACTGAGTAAAAATTGGTAAAAGTAGTGATTCTGTCAAGTTCTATAGAGCTCAACAGTCCCAGAGGCTCTGTAGTTAAAATTACACATATTTACATTATATAGGGTTCCCACTGTCATGGAAATCCTGGAAAAGTCATTGCAATTGAAAATGTCATTTTCTAGGCTTGAAAAAGTCATGAAAGTGTTGGAAAAGTCATGGAATTTTAGTATCTCTTTCACGCAACTACAGTGTTCTGTTAAGTTATTATTAGACTTTTATGATTATTTTCAAACATATGTGCCTTTTGTTTAAAAGAGACGACAATAAATGCACTGACAGTATTTTAAATGTTAAAAAACTATAATCCAAAACCATAAGGTGAGTGGAAAGGTTAACATTTCATATTTAGCTCTAAAAGTCTGATCAATTCTACACATATAGGTGCTGTAAAGTTGTGGAAAATTCACTTTAGGTCATGAAAAAGTCATGGAAAAGTTTTGAAATTTTGTCAGTGAAAAAGCGTGGGAACCGTGATTATATCTAAAACGTACATTGTAAAAACATGAAGCCAAAAATATGAAAATGCTTTAAAATATTCATGTCACACCCATTAGTAACCACTATATGATTAACCTCTTATACCTAGACTCTATAATTTATTTATTTTATATTTATTTTGATGGGTACAGTGAAAGAGAATAGTACTTCTGGAAGTGCAACAGCTGTTCGTGCTCCGTATGTGCGCTCCGTGTATTATTTTTGCATCAAAGTCTCCTCATCTCACTTTGTACTAGATAAGCACATGGCGTTTGTTTTCAATGAAGAAGGCCAGATGCCAAAAATAACTCTTCATTGCCAACAAATGTTTTAGTGCTTAATACAGCGTCATACTGAGGTATTACAGAAGTTGTGAACAGATAGTACAGTCTCCTAAAGTCGTATGCCTGGTTTCTTTTTTCATGTTTTCAGATAATCTTACATGCGACTACATCTGTGCTAATTTTTCATCGTTCTGAAACACGTGCATTGCCGTTTCTACATCTGCTACACCCATCCTCTTTCCGTTCGACTGGAGTTGATTTGTCCTTTCCATGTTGCTGTACTGGTTTCTCTCATTTCATTATAGGTCAATCCAGGTCCTGAAACAGCACTTTTGGTTTAGTCCACGATTTTTACACTTCCAAAAACACAGTAATGGTTAAGTCATTCAAGCAGTTGCTCTCATTAGCCTTCATTGGTGTTTGCTCCACTGTTTGCACCTGCTTTATATGATTTAAGGCACTCGTATAAAAGAGTCTGGTATTCTCATTAGGTTTTCTCAGTGTAAATAAAGAAAAAAAAAAGTGTGGAGTTCCATTAAATACTTGATTTACTCAACATGACTCTCACATGATGCTCATTTCTTTATTTACGAACGATTTATTTATGGATGAAGTTGCTAAAGCCTCTTCCCCCCACTGTGGTCTTCCCAGGCTTCTGAATCTGCTGTTACAGTCTTAACTCTGGTCCAGGTCTTGCCTCCCTTGCAGAAGGACATCCTCATAATCATAGTTCTGGTCATAATTATCTGGTTTTTATTGGACCTCATATGAAAACTCCATCCCATCTATCATCTTTTTTTCCCCTTCTCTTTCTGGTGGTAGTGGTTGAATCCTGGATCTCCACCTTCTCACACAGGGATTCTTCAAACCAGCAGAGCCAGTATTTCAGAATGCCCTCCCTGTTGTAGACCTACTTAGTGGACGTAGCAAAAATAAATTATTAAATGCTGTGAATATATGTAAATACTACAAAACTATAAAACCTGAGTGGCCCTTTACGCAATTATAATATTTGTCATTTATTTTTAAGTGTTAATGTATTTAATGCTCAGTGATCTAAAGGGCTGCTTTTTTGAGGATCATATTTTTTGAGGATCATATTTGAATGGAGATCAAAGTGTTCTTACATTTACAACTCCATCCTCACACCTAAATCAAAACAAAGAAAACAAAGTGATAGC